CCCCCCCCCCAGCGAGTGACCGGGACCACCTCTCCCCTCACAGCCACATTTACCCGCGACAAACCCCCCAAAAACGCTACAGCCCCGCCCTGCCCGACCCCCCGGGGGGATTCACCCACGCCCCATCGCCCCCTCCCCACTCCCCCCCTTCCCCCCCGTCCTCCCCCACCTGCCCCGGGATGCGAAAATCCACGGGGGGGAAAGGGGGGGACGCGTCCCGTTTGGGGACGGCCGAGGGACCCCCGCTCCCCCAGAGGGGTGACAGGGACGGGGAGGGCAGGTCCCGTTTGGGACCCCCGACCCCCCACAGGGGTGACAGGGACGGGGGGGGCAGGTCCCGTTTTGGGGTGCCCGGGGGGGGCAGGTCCCCTTTGGGGCCGTCTGGGGTGGGGGCCCGGTCCCGTTTTGGGGTTCCCGGCGGGGGCATGTCCCGTCTGGGGGTGCCCGTGGAGGGGGGCAGGTCCCGTCTGGGGGTGCCCGGGGGGGGCTCGGGGGGTCTGCCCGTGCTCTGCAGGAACTGCAGGAAGTTCTCCTGGATGGAGCCCTCGCGGCTGGGCAGGCGCAGCCCCTCCTCGGGGGGCTGCTTGAGGAGGGTCGCCACGAGCCGGCCCAGCTCGGCGCGGATCTGCCGGTTGAGGCAGCCGTAGAAGAACGGGTTGGACGTGAAGCAGCAGAACCCCAGCCAGGTCACCACGGTCTCGGCCGCGCCGCCCCCCCGCGCCCCCCCCAGCGCCGCGTAGAGCTGGAAGGAGAAGAAGGGCAACCAGCAGAGCAGGAACTGGCCCCCCACGGCCAGCGGCACCGCGGCCGCCTTGCCCCCCCCCGCGCCCGGCGTCCTGTGCGGGGTGCTGCGGGGGGCTCCCCCCGGGCACGGGGGGGTCACCATCGGCGAGCGGCTGCTGAGTGAGGCCGAGCGCCGGCGGGCCGGGGGGGGGGTCTCCAGCCAGGTGGGGAGGGGGCCGCGCTGGGCGGCGGCCACGCGGGCCACGCGGAACATGGCGCAGTAGGTGAGCACGATGACGAGCAGCGGCAGCGCGAAGTAGAAGGCGGCGAGGAACGCCACGAACACCACGCAGGGCGCGCCGGGGCTCCACTGCAGCGAGCAGCCCGGCGCGGGGGGACGCTCGGGGGGGGACAGCCAGCCCAGCACCGGCACCACCGAGGTGGCCACGGCCTTGAGCCACACGGCCGCCAGCACCCCGGCCACCAGCGTGGGCGTCATGTGCGCCTCGTAGCGCAGCGGGTGCACCACCGAGTAGTAGCGCTCCAGGCTGAGCGTGGAGATGGAGAGGATGCACACGGAGCTCAGGCACACCAGCAGGAACAGGTAGACGCGGCAGAGCCCCGGCGAGCCCCCCAGCGCCGAGCCCACCAGCATCTCCAGCGGCATCAGCGTCAGCGCGGCCACCAGGTCCACGAGGCACAGGTGGAGCACGAAGACGAACTTGCGCAGCGCGGGGGTGCGGGCGATGACCCCCACCACGGCCGCGTTGCCCACCAGCGCCGTCAGGTCGAGCAGCACCATGAAGAGCAGCCCCACGGCCCGCGCGGCCCCCCCGCCGTCCTTGGCCTTGCCCTCGGCGCTGCCGTTGTTGGGGGGCCGGGCCCCCCCTCCTCGGGAGCCGTTCCAGCCCCACGGGGAGGGCAGGGAGGGCTCCATCCTGCGCTGGGCATCGCACGGGGGGCTCACATCGCTGGGGGGGGTCTGCTCAGAGCACCCAAAGGTGCCCCCCGGTCACGCTCATCTGGGGAGTCCTCGCAGAGGGGGGGACCTGGGGGGAGGGGGAGCGGTCAGAGGAGGGGGGAGAGCCCGGGGGGGCCCCTGATAGCTGAGCTGAGACCCCCCAACTACAGCCCCCGGGGGCCTTTGGGGACCCTGGGGGGACCCCTGAGAGCCATGGGAGGGTCACAGCTGAGCTGGGGGGAAGGTGGAGCTGTCTGTGGGGGGGGACTGAGGGAGACCCTGGGGGATCCCTGAGAGCTGAGCTGAGACCCCCCAACTGCAGCCCCCGGGTACCTGGGGGAGGTGGAGGTGTCCGGGGGGGGGACACAACCCTGGGGAGACCCCTGACAGCCCGGGGGGGTCACAGCCGACCCCTTAGAGCCATGGTGGGGGCTCAGCTCAGTTGTGACCCCCCACCCACAGCTCCAGGCATGGGGGGAGCTTTGGGGGACCCTTGAGATCTATGGGGGGGTCACAGCTGAGCTGGGGGAAAGTGGAGCTGTCGGGGAGCGGGGGGGAGACCCTGGGGGACCCCTGAGAGCTACGGGGGGGGTCTCAGCTCAGTTGTGATCCCCCCACCCACAGCCCCGGGGACCTGGTGGGAGGGGGAGACCTCAGAGGGGGTGAGAGAAAGACGGGTCTCACAGAGGGGTGACACAACCCTGGGGGGGACCCCCAAGAACTGAGCTGGACCCCCATCTGCAGCCCCCGGGGACCTGGGGCTGTCAGGGGGGGCTGGTGGAGACCCTGGGGGGGGGGCCGAGTGCTGAGGGGGGTTCAGCCCACCCTGAGAGCCCGGGGGGGGTCACAGCTGAGCTGGGGGAAGGTGGAGCTGTCGGGGAGCAGGGGGGAGGCCTTGGGGGGCCGTGGAGACCTCCGGGGGGGGTCTCAGCTCAGCCGTGAACCCCCCCCCGCCCCCCCCACCCCCGGCCCCCCCCACCACCCCCCCCCCCCCCCCCCCCCCC